TTGGAAAATAAAACATTGAAGAGGGTCTTTTTACTTTCATTATTGTTTTAAAGTTGTATTTGACTTCTGCCAAGGAAAACAGTCATTAGAGCATACAAGTATTCCAAGAATTAGAGAGGCTGGAAGTTCTGCTGCATGAACGCCTGGAACTTTCTCCATTTGACAATCCATTGTTCTCAGCCATGACCTAGTTTCTATGCACTCTAACTGGGTCCCTGTGAGGCTTGTGGATTGAAAAAGCTCTTGCTTTTAAATGCTTAAAAATCAGAAAGTTGCAGCTATAATAAAGAAGGATCTCTTACCCTTTGAGACAGCATGGAGGGACCTGGAGAGTATAATGCTAAGTGAAAGAAGCCAGTCAGAGAAAGACAAATATCACATGATCTCATTCATATGTGGAATCTAATGAACAAAATAAATGGATGGACAAAATAGATCCAGAGACATGGAAGTGTGGAACAGACTGATGAATCTCAGAGGAAAGGGGGGAGGGGGCAGGAAGAGATTAACCTAAGAACTTATATGCATACTAGTGGCCCAGTGCACGAAATTCGTGCATGGGGGGGGGGGTCCTCAGCCCAGCCTGCACCCTCTCCAATCTGGGACCCCTTGGGGGACATCCCTCTTGCAATCTGCGACTGCTGGCTCCTAACCGCTCACCTGCCTGCCTGCCTGCCTGATTGCCCTTAACTGCCTCTGCCTGCCTGCCTAATCACCCCCAACGTCCCTTCCTTGCCAGCCTGATCTCACCCCCAACTGCCCTCCCCTGCCAGCCTGGTTGCCCCCAACTGCCCTCCCCTGCTGGCCTGATCTCACCCCCAACAGCCCTCCCCTGCTGGCCTGATCTCACCCCCAACAGCCCTCCCCTGCTGGCCTGATCTCACCCCCAACAGCCCTCCCCTGCCAGCCTGGTTGCCCCTAATGGCCTCTGCCTCGGCCCCCACCACCATGGCTTTGTCCAGAAGGAAGTCGGATGTCCGGAAGATGGCCTGTCGGTCCAGTCTAATTAGCATATTACCCTTTTAGTAGTATAAATAGATTATATAGGATAGGATTGCTTAAATGCGGGGGTGGGGGGGAAGCCTTTTTCATCAGGAGGAGATGCTCTTGGCAGACAAAAATACATAATCCCTATATCTGGACTGATAGCCAGCCATATGCACTATACTGCCAAACCAGTCATTAAAAAATTGAACCATTTTCTTACACCTGACACCAAACAGCTGTTGCCCTTAAAACCCCTCCTCAGTCCCCACCTTAGGTTCTGCCTTTGCAGTTCACCTAGATTTGGTTCTGATTGGTTGGTTTCTATGCCAGTCAACGTCAAAATCTCCGCCTCCTAGGCAGCCATTGGCTCCTTGCACTTCACCCAGACTTAGTTCTGATTGGTCGATTTCTATGCCAGGCAGCGTCTCCGGGCCTATCAACAGGCCTGATCAGAGAGGCAGGGCTGATCTGCAGCCCCAGCGGAGGCCGGAGAGAAAGAGAGGTGAGGCTGCTGGCCAGGCCTGGAGCAAAAGAGAGAGGCAAGTGCTGATCAACAGCTGCCATGGAGGCTATGGATCAGACCCTGCTTCTCTCTCCAGGCCTCTCTTCGGGCCTGATCTGTAGCCCCCTCGGCAGTCAGTGCTGGATCGGGGCACCCGCAGCAGCGGCACTGACTTCTGGTAGGTGGAGCCTTCAGTCGTTTTGGATGTTACGGGTCCTGGGTTTTTATATATTAGGATATGCATAAACCATGGACACAGACAGTAGTTTGGTAAAGGCCTGGGGGTGGGGTTGCAGGTGGAGGGAGAATGGGACGAAAAGGGGACATCTATAATACTTTCAACAATAAAGATTAATTAAAAAAAACAAATAAGAAAGTTGCTGCTGTTGCCTGTTCAATACATGCAGGTGGTAAGTAGGGAGAAATTAAATGTTTTGAAGCTCTTTCTAGTGGAAATTAATCAAGAATAGCATCTTAATATTTTGTGTAATTAGACCATGGTGTTTTGATTTCATTCTGTTTTTATGGTGTTGTTTACTATTAAGATGTGAATCATGACTTGTATGCATGCATATAAGCATAACCAATGGACATAAGACACTGGGGGGTAGGGGAGGCCAGGGGATTGTCAAGGGCGGGGAAAAAAGGGAGACATATGTAATACTCTTTGTAATACTTAAAGGAATAAAACAATTAAAAAATAGGTGTGAATCATGGCTTGGATAGGGAGGATTTAGTCCCAAACTAGGATATAGTTTGCCAAAACAGATACTTCCACCGAGAATAAGTTTGTGTGTTGGCAGAATCATGTAGGGTGCTGAAATAGAGCATATGATTTCAGTCTTTTTTCCCTAATTGTGAAAGGACCCTGTCCTAACTCACGGACCATTGCCTTGGCTTGTGGTGACTCACACAATGACCACATCACTATTCTGGCCTTAGGAGACTCGCTCATTTGTTTATCTTTCCTTTGTTTGCTTTGAGCACTTTGGCTCCAAGTTTTGTGATAAATTCTGTGCCAAACGGGAAAAGAAAATTCTGATGGCTGAAATTCTGATGGCTAGTATTTATGAAAATCTTGCTGAGCATCTTCCCCAGAGGCAGCGGATTTGAAGGCTGGATTTTTCTCACTGGTGGAGAGAATGGACAATTTTGCACTGCAAAGATATTAGTTACAATAGTTGTTTTTCTGATGAAAGTAACAGATTCTTTAAACATAGTTTAATTCCAAAATAAATTATGCCTCTATTCAGGGAAATTAAAATTTCTGATGTTGAAATGTATATATTAATTTGTTGTTTTCATTTCCCAATGCATGAACTGCTGTTGAGGTGACATGACTGTCTGGTTTTATTATAGTTTGGGTATTAGTCAGGGTTCTCCACAGAAATAGAACCAATAGGAAATACATATACACACATATATACATATATATACAGGAAGATTTACTTTAAGGAATTGACTCACCTGATTGTGGGGGCCATCAAGTCTGAAATTTGCCAGCAGATTGAGACTGAAGGGAGAGTTGATATTGCAGCTCAGGTTCAAAGGTGGTCTGAAGTCAGAACTCCATCTTCTTGGGGTTTTTTTGTTTGTTTGTTTTTTTTGTTTTTTGTTTTTTTTTTTTTACTTAAGTCCTTCAACTGATTGGATAAGAACTATCCACATTATAGAGGCTAATTTGCCTTTTTCAAAGTCTACTAATTTAAACGTTAATCACATCTACAAAATACCTTCATAACAACAATTAGACAAGTGTTTGACCAAAAAACTGGACAGCATGGCCTAGCCAAGTCAACACATAACATTAACCATCACAGCTTATAAATTCATGTACATAAAATTATGTATATGAGTTTACAATAAGTACATACACTGGAATGAATGAGACATTTATACTGGACAAGTTATCAGATTAAAAAGCAAAGATACATATATTTTTTTGTTAATCCTTACCCAATTTCCATTGATTTTTAGAGAGAATGGAAGGGAGGGGGAGAGATAAAGAAACATTAATGTGAGAGAGGCACATTGATTGGTTGCCTCCTACATCCAGGGCCGAGGATCCAGCCCTTGATGGGAATCAAACCCAGGACCCTTCAGTCTGTGGCTGGTGCTCTCGCCACTGAGCCAAATTAGCTAGGGTGCAAAGACACATTTTTGAGACTTAGACGTTCAGAGCTCACATAGACTTCTTAATATCTAGGGCTGGACAGATTAGAGATCATATTCTTTTGGTGAGTTTTTCCCAGTCCTGAAACTGCTGTTCCATCTCCCACTGCCCTAACTGCAACGTGCAGCTCTGTTCCCCTTTCACCCTCCCAACAGCTGGAGTTTGTGAAAGGAATCCAGCTACCCATCCGTAGTATGGTGTCTGGCTTGGAACACTAAATCTAACTCAACCCTTCTATTTTACAAAAAGGGAAACAGGCTCAGAGGAAACAGAGTTTGTTCACTATCGTGCCACTCAGTGTGGTATTTTTAAGCATCTTATTTTAAAAGTCATTCTTCATAAGGAATATAAACCCCTATTGCAAAGGTGACAAACCAATGAGGGCAACTCCTAGCAATATTATTGCAAGTTGTAATTGGGGTAAACAATCAGTTGAGTTCAAAGTTTCGCTAGCTCACAGCTTCCTCGAGGAATCCAACACCATCTAACAATTTCTGATTCATCACAATTTAAACATTCTTATCGCTCTCACGTGAGAGGGGAACTTTATGGGTGCAGAATATACAAGTTTGTAAACAAAGTCCCTGACTTTCAGGTTGAAGTCTAAGAAATTATAATAATTGAAACAATAAATAAGTAATAATGATACTTAATGAATAGTAATAATTACAAAAGAATTAATTACTGTGTTTGAGCCACATCACGGGCACTTTTTCATTTCAGTCATCTTCCTTATTCTTTGTGCGCACAGATAAGTAAATGATTTAATCAGCTTTGCGCAGTGACAAACTTCAACTGCGTTGGGCTCAGCTTCCCAATCCAAGCTCCTAGCGCTAGTGCTCATGGCCAGTCATGGCCGAAGTTGCACTTTCTGGTCCAGCAACGAGGCAAATGTCATTTGCAACGTGATTTCCAAATTTAAGTTGACACGGGACCAATTTAACTCAGAGACTGTGTTCATTCGATGGGGGTTTGGTTGGGTCGATTTGATGGTTTGTTCGATTCATTTAAGTTGAAGAAAAAGGGGGAGGAGGAGGCTGCGTCCTTAGGTCGAAATATTTGTGGTCTTCCTGTGGACACAACCAGAGCCCTGAAAACTGACCTCAAAACAACTGCTAAAGAATCGGTTTTGATATTACAAATCCAAGCCTTTTGCTCCTACCGCAACCCTTTCTTGGACGCACACGCAGGCAGCACTTGCGCAGCAACGGCCGGGCCGGCTACTCTTGGCCCGACGTGCGGGGTACACCCCACGCCCACGCGCGCAGCAGGGAGGGAGGGGGGGCTCCCGGAGGTGGTGCGGCCTGGGCGGAGCCCGGCGGCGCTACTCGAGGGCGGAGCGGGAGGCGGCCGCACGGATCCCGGAGCTGCGGCGCCGCTGGGGCGCGGTCCGTCTTCTCCCGCGGAGCCGGGCGCGCGGCCGCGATGAGCTGGGACTTGTTGCTCTGGCTACTGGCGCTGTGCGCGCTGCTCGCGTTGGTGGTGCAGCTGCTGCGCTTCCTGCGGGCCGATGGCGACCTGACCCTGCTGTGGGCCGAGTGGCAGGGCCGACGTCCAGGTGAGGGCCCGCAGCCGCCCCTGGGCAGTGCGAGGCCGGCCCCGTGCCGCCGAGATTGCGCTGCCTCCGCGTCTCTCCTGGTGCCCTGGAGCTTCCGCGTCCCCGGGCTCAGCCTTTTCCTGCGGCTGCGGGTGGGGGAGGAGGAGGTGCTTCTGCCCGTTGTTTTAGCTCCGGGTCGGCTGGACTGGCTGGACTTGCTGGACTGGGCGGGCGCCCTCAGCACCCTAAGCTGTTAGCGGGCTCCCGGGGATACTTTGAGAAATAGTGAGCGCATCCCCCCGCTTTAAGAGAGAGAGATCCCTTCTGCGGACGGGAGCTGCGTATGTCTACTTGCTGAAGTTCTTTATCCACTACTTTCCACTCTACGGGGGTTTTGAAATGGTAAAATTTGATATTGTCAGCGAAGAGAACACCTGGACCTCTATAAATTTAAGAAAAAAGTTTTTATTTGGGTCAAATTGAGGACATGCCCGAGAGAAGAACTCTGAGAAGCCTTAAAACTGTGCTTTAACTTGGAAGCGTGAGGGCTGCTTGTATAGGGAGAGTGAGCGAGAAGTACATACATTTCAGAGATTAACATTTCACACCAGGTGGAAAGGATGTACAGATAAGGTTGGGTCTTCCCCTTCTTGTCATCGGGGAATCTGAAAATAGAGTTTGGAAATACTTATTCTTCAAGGCAAACTTTTTTCAGGATGCAGAAAGAACAGCACTGCTTTCTATCATTTATTTTTCATGTTGAAACTGTTGAAAAGTATATGTGATTATCCCCATGGAATATGCCCAGTAAGGAATTTGAAAGGCTCTATATTCTCCTTTGGTTACTGATTTTTAGTGAGAGCAGTTAAAACATCCTTTCTTTCTCCACATAATCTAGAGTTCAGTCCTACTTACTTACTGGAATAGTAAAGGTATAAAGCCGGAAAGAACTAAATTGGCATTTTGCCTGGAGAAAGGTCATTATTGGCATACTAAGGGGGCATTCTGCATGTCCCACCTGTATCTGTGCCCTGCTTAACATTCATTAAATACAGTGTGCTGGGCTCTTTACAGATGTGGTCTTTATTTTTTACAAGGACTCGTACAAAGTAGGCTTTGCGAATCTTATCTTCCAGGTAGGGAAACTAATATTCAGAGAAATTTCATGACCTGCCCAAAGTTGGGCTTTGGATTCATAAGGGCTGGGGGAAGTGGGGTTCCCCTGGACCAAGTTTCCAGTAGGAAAAGATTCATAGGTTTGCTTGGAAGTGAGAACTACTATGCTTTTAAAATGGGGCCAGGAGAGAAGGGAAGCAGTATTGCTTTTGTGAGGGTGAAAATTGGTTCTTGGGGACCGAAAAAAATCTTAGAGGGCCCCTCCAAAGCTAAAACCTACCCGACAAAATCTTATTCTTTAGTATTTCATTTCTCTCATTTTTTATTGGGGGGTGGAGTGAAACATATGCAACTGACATTATTGAGTTCATGCAAAATACACTACACATAGCAAGGGCAATGCTACAAAACTATGACAAATTGATGGCTGTGATTGGCAGACTCTCTCTTGATGGTTTGCTCCATCCATCTCAGCAGATGGAATGCATGTGCCTACTGGCTGCTTTGTGGATGTTTGTGTTTGATCCTCAATGCTTTCATATATATATATATATATGTGTGTGTGTGTGTATATATATATATATATATATATATATATATATACACATATATATACATA